GCTTGTAGAGAAGTCTCCGGATGGAAATATGGCAAAGTAGTTTGGAGTTTAACTTTATATTTGTCATAAATGGCATGTTATTTATGTGAGATGCTGACAGTTAAAATTATCTATGACTCCAGCAGATTTAGATTTTGTTTTCATTCATCCAAGAAGTAGGTAGAAAATAAAGCTTAATGCTTAGTCAAAACTTTGTTCTTTACTCTTTCACTGCAATCATAACACCATTTTACTGCTAAATGCCAACATTGAGGGCAATTAGCAGTAAAATGAGGTAATTGTTGAATATTATGTATGTTTAGGAGCTAAGTTTCCTTTATTTTTATTTAACTAGGAAATATTCTTTCCACATTTTAAAGGTGACATAAATCATTAGACATGAATGCTATAAGTTATTAAACTTAAAATAGAATACATTCCAAAGTCATCGCATCATATGATCAACACAAAAGGAAAGTAACTAGCCTGCTGTGATTGTCTAGGCCGTGTAGAATAATTTGAAATTAATTTGCTAGGATTAGACCCTTAGTCTTACTGTACCATAACTTATACATCTATTTGGATGTGCAATATATATGCAGTTTGATTTATTGTTTTCACAATAACACACATTCACATAGATCAATCTGATCAATCTGTCATGCATAGGACTGCAAGATTTTTTATTGTTTTCCCTCCCAAGCATTTAAGCAGAAGTAGCTACCTTTTAACCTTTTTCCACTTCCCATTGCTGGGTCTGGGAACATATGGCAGTAATAAGATGTGGGAGATGGCATCAAAGCTTTCTGTATAATATATCAGCTGCTGCTGGTAAATGTAAAATGTGTTGCACCACTTACCAGAAGTGAAAAGAGGCTAGACCTAGGCCGAAGTTTAAATAAGAGGATATGTAATCTGGGCTGGCAGCCTGGAACTTGCTTTGTAAGCAGTTGGGATGATCTAACCAGAGATAAGTTCAAATAGTGTTGAACGTGTCTGGTATATTTTTAACCACAGATTTTTAGGCACTTGAGTCGATTCTGTGTAACAGCACGTACTACGTGATCAACAAGGCTGAACAAAGGCCTCTTGGTTAATGATCCAACCATCTTGTTTTATCAATGTCCACAGTCAGAGTACACTGATAAACGTCCATGAAAATTGGGTACATTTTGAAACCCAATTAGAACGTCTAGACATCAGATGATAGTATTTCTTCTTATTCGTTTATGTTTGAGGGTAAATAAATATGTACATTTATTATTTTTGTTTTAGTCAATCAACAGTGGAAAAGAAAGTAAAAAGAAAAAAAATACTTTCACATTTTAAAGTGCACATCATTTAGTGCTGGATCTAGATGAATTTTTTGGTTGAGAATAATAATAGACCTTAAAATTAAAAAAAAAAAAAAAATCACAGAAAAGTACCGGGATTGCTGTGTATGTCATTTCTAGAATTACACTTTTTTACGGACCAGCTCACGCCTGTCATCATGCCCTGACCTGTTTCAAGACTTTGCTGTGTAGAAACTGAGATGTCATCCAAGAAAAAGCCCTGTGGAAAACGTGGAAATTGAGAGCCCAGTCACTTAGTCACCAAGGAAAGAAAAACCTCACACTGAGCAACTTGCAAGTCACCGTCACCAAGAAGACTCTCTCAAGCTTACATTAATACGCATAGGCTCTGTGAGTGCCACTCCCTATTTTAGAGCTACTCCCTGCAACTGCACCAAAAGACGTAGCAAAACCGAGCAGATCAAAGTAACCACACCAACATGTAAACACACACACACACATATGAATGTAATTTTGCTTCCCAAGTATCCCTGCCAATTTCCTGGCCTGGTGAGGTGGGGGATGTTCCTAAAGAAGGGGTCAGATTTTTCCACACACTGTTGACAGGCTCATATAATCCGTCAAGCTTATAATAAACAACGTTATTTATATCTAGCCGAAGATATTATTAGCTGAACATGAGAAGCGAGCCCGGTCCTGGCCATGATGTCAGTGCATCATCATGTTAAGGTAAAGAGCATGTGAGGTCGTTTTATTTACCTATTATTTGTTTTATTTAATTACTAGCCCATACACTGTTGATCCGTTTGAAACAAATTAAGACATAACAAAAAAATAGTTGCGTTTGAACAAAGAGCTGCAATTAGCCCCTGGGAGTTCAACGATGCAGAAAATCAGGGTTCAGTACATACTTTGGTGCTAAATTCACAACTCGGTTTGTCATCAAACCCCATCAAGGAGCACATTTAAAACATGAACTGTCACTGACTAAGACTGATCGTTTGATTAGTGATACTATAAGTACTGCTATAAATATTTTGAAGATGGTTGTTACGGCTTTGACTTGATCTGAATCGTTAGCACAGGGATACGTTAAATAGTACAATCATCTTGGTTTCCTCTTTAGCTTTCTTGTTGTTTTTGCTTCATACAAGGTTGTGTTAGCATCCAGATGTATTATAAAAGTGTGTGGTCAGGTTAGACATAAAGCTAGCTACATAGTTTATCCTTGTTAAACAACGACAGTATAAAAATATGCAAAGTTCTCTGATGATATATTTAAGAAAGTACATGGTGAGTCTTCCTAGCAAAACTACTACTTCTTTTGTTATTTAAACATACACTACTTATTTACTGACATACAAAAAATCTGTTTAATCTGTCAAAAATAGATTTGAATAAACTTGACTACCTCCACATCATTATTACAAAAAAATTTTACCGTAAAAAAACAATGTGCAGTCAAGATAGACATAATGTTTTTTTGTTTTTTTTGGGGGGTTCAGAAAATGTAAACAGGACATCATACAAATATTATATTGTATAAAAATACCTTTGCTCCCAGGTTATTTTTTTTCCAGTTATAGTAAAATAGTTTCTTTTGGTTCTCTATTTAAGTAGCTGTTGGCTAAAATCCTATCCCATAATTCCTCGCTTCTTCTCAAACTGGAGGTCACTTTGACGGCGTCTGACAATATGGCAATAACTACAACACGGATAGGTGCTAAAAAGTAAAGTAAAAACTTGTTGCACTAATAAGACACGTTTATTAATCTGGCTGCATTGTTGCACGTCATTACCAATTTACCATTATTAAAATGACTTATACACTTACACAACATTGTTTCGCGCCGTCATTGCCAGGATTCAGGGTGACTCATGTAAGTGGGTGACACATGCAAGAGCAGCAGCAGTGAAGAGAGAAAAAAAACTGTTTTAATTATCTGATATGAACTTAGTAAAATTGAAGGAAACTGACAGCTACATTTAAAGGTATTGTATGTAATCTGTTTAGATTTCAGGGTCACAGCTGTAGTTGTGTGCTTGATGACTCCAGTATTGTAGCAGAACCCAAGGCAAAACTTTCTGCACTTTATTAAAAAATTACCCGATAAATAACTTTGGAAGACTTCAAAAAGAAGTGACAATAAATGTGTATTTATTACAGTTGCATAATGACATTTTACGTCAAACGTCAAATAAATGTAGAGTACAGCCTAAAATGATTCACCTTCTTGTTAGAGTTCGATTTGAAGTAGCATAATAATTTTACCAACTTGTTTCTTCTGACTGGAAATCAAATTAATTATCTGGAGTGAACCAGCCAGAGTCTTGAATATGACGGTCAGTGGAGGCAGATAAAGATTTTTATTTTTATTTTCCACTGATAATTGAGAAGTATATGAAATGAAATTACATTCTTTATAAAGCATAGACAAAAAAAACTTTTTTCTAAAAATCCTGATTCACCTTTTAAATTGTCTTGTCTTTTGAGAGAGATCTCTCTCTCTCTCTCATTTCCTATGAGAAAGAGAATTAGTCAGAGAGTAAAAAATAAAATAAAAATAAGGGTGTACAAAACATGTTTAGCTTTCCTGCGCAAAACAGAGTAAAACTGTACAAGTACTTTGTGGACAGTTTGTGTAATTTTTTTATGTACAAAATTACATTTAAAAAGCATCTGAAAACATATTGTTTATGGTGAATACATTATCTGTTTTGTCACATATAAACACAAAGACTGACACGTTTCCACTCTCTGGAACTACACTTTTCCATGTAAACCACTGAATATTTCTTATGACAAGAAAATGATTTTTATCAGTTTCTCAAGAAGGCTGGAGAAAATTTTATTAATATGTTATTTTGTGTTGTATTTAACTAGATTCTAAAACCAAGTTTTAGAAATCATTTACTTGATGTAACAAACCTAGTAATAAAAATAATCTTACAACAGCACTAATTAGTTTAAAATGTAAATAACGTTAGCCACCAGTGTTCAAGAATTCTCTAATTAGATTTTTCTCTCTTTTTTTTTTTTTGGGCTTTGCTGATATTTTTTTATTTGCTCATATCTTGTTTTCAACCAAAGGTTTCTCCCTTTGACCAACATGTACTTTAATTTGCAGCTCTGATGTAATCATCACTGAAACCTGAAGACATAGGGCGGAGGGGGGAGGGGGGTATGTTCTGGTAAACTCAAATGTACAGTAATACATTCTGCTCTCTATGAGACAAAAAAAAAACTCTCAGAAACTATACATTGTGTGATCGTTTATCACACTTCCCGACAGTGTAGTATTAGTCACTCCAACGAGGTCAAACACTGTAAACATATAACATTATGTTCAGAAATCTCAATTATTTTGACATTATCTTGAAGCTTGAATGCTTCAGATTTCTAAATGTCTCACAGAATTGGGGAGGATTTATCTTCCTTCAGGAACTTTGTGCATGAGAGCATAAGCGCATTTGCCCTAAAGTAGAGTATCTTCGAGAGCTATGTAAATAAGCCACTTCGGCTTCACATGCCTACGAAACTGAAACATTTCACACAGCTGGCTAAAAATACTCAGTTCTCCTCTGTCTTTTTCTCTCTCGTTTTTTTTTTTTTCTTTCTGTTTTTCTGGAGGGGGAGGAGAAAGGGTTGTCAGAAAGAGGATCATCCGGGAACATGGCCTGTGGAAACCCCTCCCAAAGGAGGGGAGGAGCGTTTCCCTTAATATAGGAGCTAAGAAAGGTAGGGTTAGCACAAGTCTACACGCAGGCATTTATCACTCAACCAAGGATCAGAGCTCAGGCTTGTTGGTATAGTCAAAGGGATACAGCATGTCCGATATGCTTGAAGACATTTTGGCAAAAGTGAGTAAAAACACAACTTTTGTGGGGGGTTTTTTCTTTCTTTATTTATTTTTTGGTCAACTTTATGAAGTTCAAAAAGTATATCTATAAGTGTTTTTTTTGTTTTGTTTTGTTTTTTTGTTTTTTTTTTACTCATTTGAGACATTTTGTATTGCCTCACAGATGGTCTGTATGCTTTGTGGTAACTGTTTAAATCATCTGTTACAGAACTTTCTAAACTTGGCCCTGAATGAAGACCCGCTCTTCATACAGCTTAAGAAGCCAGGGCAAAACCGACTGAACCGATCGGCCTCATTCTTCTCTCCCTCCTCCCATCCTGCTTCCTCATGCCTTAGCTCGAGCTCGGATCATGTTAACGATGATGACAATGGCAGCTCTATCTGGTCATCGAACATCTGGAGTCAGGCGCCGGTCTCCGACAAAAAACAGCTTTCCTTCCGGCCTGACCGCTCCATGAGCCTGACCGAGCCCAGCAGCTCCCTGCTCCCTTCAATCGGACACCTGAAAGGCCTGGAGCCTTTCCCCCCAAGCCCTGCTACTACAGTGGCCCCCCCACCAGGGTTTCCTCCCTCGTCCAACCTCCCAGCCCAGGTACCGCCAATGCTTTCCTCTAACCGTTACAAGACTGAGTTGTGTCGTGGCTACCAGGAGAGCGGCACTTGCAAGTACGGCAGCAAGTGTCAGTTTGCTCATGGTGAAGCCGAACTGAGAGGAATGTACCGCCACCCGAAGTATAAAACCGAGCCCTGCAGAACCTTCTACAACTTTGGGTACTGTCCGTATGGCTCGCGCTGCCACTTCATCCACGAGGAGAAAATCAGCGGTGGTCCTTTACCATCTGCCAAATTCCAGCAGCAGCAAAATCCCTCTGCATCTGGCAGCCACAACCCACGCCACCAGCTGCGCCAGAGTGTCAGCTTTGCCGGGTTCATGGGTCCATCCCGCAGTTCCTCTCCTCCGTCGTTCTCTTCACTCTTCAATGATCCCAACCTGGGATTCACCCGTGCTCCTTCAGTTTCCCCTCCTCCTGCAGATCTCCTCTCCCCTGTGTTTGGAGACTCTGTGCAGAGAGAGACATCAGCATTCCAGTTTGGCAGCCACCAGACCCGCACCAGCACCGGAAACATTCCTCTCATCCTGGAGCCAAAGCCTACACGCTGCGTGTGCAACCACGGAAATAACTTTTCCAACAATAAATCCAGAGCCTTCCCCAGCACAGTGGACCAGGAAGGCGGCTTGCTGTTTCCTGGTATCGGCAGCACCGGGGGCTTCACCAGGTCCGCTGGACTGCAGCGTTTCTCCTCCGAGGACTCCTTGGAGGACAGCTACAGCAGCAGCAGCTCCAGCGGGTCTGAATCTCCGATTTTCGACGGGTCGGCCACCAAGAGGCTGACCGTGTTTGAGCGTCTGTCCCTGTCTGACTAAAGATACAAATCGGACAACACAATCCAAAGAGAAAGAACTGTGACACTTGCGTAGCCTTTCTGTTTCCTGACTATTTTTGAAACTCTTCAGAACAAGACAACTTAATAACACTTGTAGAAATGTAACTTATCTTTTAGAAACTACACATGCTAAGATGATTTTAGAACTCAAATGTTATCAGACTTTATTTTTATACTCAGAAATATGGCATAGCCTATTAGACCTTTGTATGTGGTCTTCCAAGAAAATTACCTCCTCTGCAGGTCTTGACCTTACCAGCACATACTATGGATCACTACAAATCAGTGGTGATTAAAGAAAAATGGCTTCTCTTTTAGTGATAATCAATGATGCCTGTGCCTTAAAGACTTTTCCATCCTCTGTGCCACAAGCAGTATGTTTGATTCAGTAGCCTTAATCAGCGACACCTGACGTGTCTATTGTATGCACTTTACAGCTAATTCAAATGGGGAAAATGTCCCAGTAGCATTCAACCAAAGCTTCATTTGTAATTCTGCTCAGTGTGTATGGAAAGCGAGTGACTGTACAAGAATGCATGCAGGAATGTTTGAGTTTATTTTTTCCAGACTTGGGGTGCAAGTAAATATTGCAGAATGCTGAAGGATCAAAGTATGCTAATAGATTGTTGAGTTTAGAACTGAATATTTGTATCCTGACATGCTCTCATGGTGTTTGATTCTGCAAAACGTTCTGTTTTATTTGCTCTTTTGTTAATTGCACACCATCTATAGTTTTCTTTTTTGTTGTTGTTTTTTTTCCCCCCTGTTTGTTTGACAGCCTGGTTCAGGGAACACCACAGTATTCCATTTGGTTATTGGTTGGCTCTTGTTGTTAACTTAAACTAATGTATTTATTATATTTATTCATGTTTAAAAAAAAAGAAACTATGTGTTTTGTACTTTTATTTATGGAGAGATATTTCCAACTCTGTGAAATAGCAATGTGAGAGAAAAAAAAACAGAAAAAGAAAATATTATATTTTTAATTGCCTGAAAAGCAAACAATAAATTCCTAAATAAATTTAAAAAAAAAATGTTGTTGACTTTTTATGGACTTTTACATTTTTGGGTTTTCTGCACATCACAACTACATAAAATATATCAACCAAAAAAATATTATAAATACAAACAAACTGAAGGAAAACATAAGTGAATTATTTTGGATCAGTTCCATTAGGTGTCAGCCATAAACACACCAGTATGAAAATAGCCAAAACCTTCTAAAGGGACGGATCCCTTTAGAAGGTTTTGGCTGCCATGTTCGAATGTTCGCAATAAACATGGGATTTTATAGTTAAAACTTCATAGGCCAAACTGTTTCCAAGAAAAGTCAGAATATTTTCATTTCAAGAAATCTTTTTTTGTTTGTTTGTTTGTTTGTCAAAATCCATTATTTATAAGGATTATTTCATGGCAGTTTGGGATATGATGATCTGGACAGATTTACCAGTTGAAATTTTAATCTTTCCATAAGACATTTCAAAACTTTTTATTGCTATCATAATTTACTTTCTCAAGATCTACAAAAATTTGCAAGATTTTCAAGTTACATGAGATACTCACACTTGGATTTCACTGGCTCTCACCAGGAAACTAACCTTATACGTAAATTGCGAAACATGTTTATTTGCTGACCTTTTTATTCAGATTTACTAGTTGTGCAACACTGATTGTGCTTGCCAAGAAAAGCAACTAAAAACAATAGCAGTAACCACCCCTCCACTCATGTGGCTGACACCAGAAAACTGTTCTTTTTCCTCCTCATTTTCACTAAAATTACTCAGGAAACTGAAGACATTTCTAAGCTGTGTACATAAAGCTGATTTACCAGAAATGTAAACTGCACCAGTGAAATACATCCATCCCTTTCAATATTTACAAATGTCCTAGAACTTAAATACTGCAAACATGAAAGAGGGAAAGCAATGGAATTACACAACATGCCGTTTCCCAGGAAGCAAGTCAGCTGCTGTCATTTCCAGCCTTGATTGATCTGTGTTTTGTGAGCAAAATGTTCTAGAGATTGTGCAAGAAACACTGTTAAGCAGAAGTTCACAAAAGTACCCTGTTGCAACTTCCACTTTAAATTCCCTGTGAGACGATGTGTTGTGCAACAAACACGCCACCACCCTCTCAGAGTTTGGGCAGCTGATGGAATGAAAGAAATGCTGTGAAAAAAAACTTGCCACTATAAAGACTTTGGAACGTTGGCTAGTGCACCGTGCTTGGATTTGTCTAAGATTTTCTGTGTTGCATTTAGAAATCGTTGTGTTTTACGGAGTGCGATATTAGCCTGTGAGTTGTATGCACGCATGACCATGACCTGTGACCTTTGACAGAGATTTGAAAACAACCTTTGCATGTTACTTTGTGGGCAGATAAATCATGTATGTGGAAACTTCATGGAATGATGGTTCCAGAGAAAATGGAAGGCACATTTGTTTCAGAAAGCTAATGAAATGACCTTCTTAAGCAACTTTGTTTGAGAAAAACGCAAACCTTGTCTACATTTTTGAAGAGAGTTCTTGTACTATATGGCTTTGCAGTTCTATAACTTTCCTGAGGTTCATTAAGACTGGTTTACACTTTCACACAAATCTTGCCATTGCATGTTATTATTATTTAAAACCTTGAACTGTTTCCTATTTTATTATGTTGTTAATGCAATCTTCTATCTAGGATTGTTTGTTGGGATTTTAGGTCATAGACGCCCAACAGTTTATGTTTTTAAAAAGAAGGAAATAGTTAAAAGTTTTTTAAAAATTTCCATAGATAAAATTTCAGAAATCTGACTTGTATTTATATCCAGCACCTTTTACTCTGATAAGTTGCATGGAATCCTGTGCAACCATGTTAACCTTTGTACAAATGCAACAGAGTGAGAGATTTGTTAGAGAACATTAGCAAAAGAACAACATCAGGGTTAGAGATAAAGATCTGGTGACCTTTAAAGCAGAGTAAGGTACAGATCAATTTCCCTAAACTTCAAACAGCTTTCAGAGCAAATTTGACACAATACCAAACACATCCAGACCTCCTAACCACCAAAACTAACAGGCTGGAAAAAGAGAGCAGGAATCAGAAAAAGAGTAAAGAGGCCCAGCTCTGGAGGAGCTGCAGAGATCCACATCTCAAGTGAGAGAGCCTATCTCCACCAATCTGGACCGTACATGTCAACAAGAACGCCGTTATTCAAAGTCATTTTTAAAGTTCGCAATTATCAGCAAAGGAAACACAGCAATCAGCCGAGAAAATCAAAACATTTTGTCCCACATGCAATTTTCTGTCTCACCCTGAACACAACATCCCTGATATGAAGCATGGTGGTGGGCTGCAGGGATCCTTTTCTCAGGAGTAGCAGGGAAGCTGATTAAAACTGATACGGATACAGAATGAGTTAAATTCAGAGCAATTCAGGAAGAAAACCCGTGAGAGCATGCAAACGACTTAAAACCAGGGCAGAGGTTTTCCTTCCAGCTGGACAATGACCCTAAACATCCAAGCAAACTGAAGTGGAATGGTTTAGATCCGCATACATGCATGCGTGAGACTGGCCCACATCATACATAATTACTGAAAAATATTTAAACATGTGGAGGTTTTGCCCAATATTCAGGGTATGAAAAGGTAAATGTGCTTTGCAAGAAAGTAAGACAAAACTACTCATAATACTTAACTTAAAATAATCTGCTTTTACATTTTTGTTGTAACTTGCAACTTTTCGCAACTTTAATATGTAACCAAGGTTGAACATACAATCTAGAGAATGCACAGTGCATGTTGTGAAATGCGTTCTAATTATCTTTGCGTGATTCTATTTGTTTGTTTTTTTTATTTGCCACACGTTTCTTTGTTGCTATTGCATTTGCAATTACTTTGCTTCTATGTTGCTGTGTTGCTCCTCGCTAGTAAACAGAACGAAAACATCAATTTAAATTAAAGCTATAAACATATCTTACTCAAGCTGCATCGTGCCATCTGCTGAGCTCAGAACATGGCTGAGACAACCTAAATTGATTTATCCCCATTGTCTGTGCATTACAAATGCATGAGGAATGCAGATTTTCCAACGAAACCTATTGAAACTGGACCCTAAGTACACCTCAACTTAAGCCACAATTGCGCATTGTGTCTGTAAACCCAGTTCCCCTTTCGAGCCACAGCAGGATGTGTCGCCATGGTGATGGACAATGACCACATAGTGTAAACAGCAAAGCCAGAATGAAAAAAAAAAAAAAAAAAGCAGGCATGTGTTTGTTTGTTCGCAAACATTAACTTACCAGACAGTTCACGGGACTAGGCTGGTTAAACGGCCCGAGGAACAAAAGGGCAAATGTCTGAAAAGCTCCACAAAGCCGGACATTTCAGGAACCTGGTGACAGCAAGCTGGTCAAAAGAAGCATTTTTTTTTTATAAAGTGCTTCAAGTTAAACTATTGACAACAACATGGATTTTTCTTTTTCTCCTAATAGTGAAATTTTAGCTATTGATTAACTTCAGCTTCCCCCCAATGTCACATTTTACACTGCATAGATTTTTAACATGGATTCAGCAACTCCCACACAGA